CACGACGGCATTTTTAGCTTACAACTGAATAAACAAGACTGAATTTGGAACAGAAAAGAAGAGCTTCAGCTAGCTGCCCTTTGAGCTTCGCGCCAGTTCGGACGGAATGACGTCATGGATGTGCGGCCTGGCCTTCAAAGTACTGTTCAAATTGGCGGCCCCCAATGTCGAACGATTTATCTCTTTTTCGTTGGGATCGCAGCCACTTCAGAAGCTGAAACAACAGTGAGTGACTAAACTCAATGTGAACTTTTTATTGCTGATTGAAAAAAATACGGTTTTTGGAGTGACCTACTCCTTTAAACTTGGCACATGTTGGGTGTGATCAAATGATAACACAATTGTGGGCAATTAGTTAGTGAAAAGACTTCTTACAGTGTAACCTGGGCCACTCCTAAATGGGACTTGAATGTAAATGGCAGTGATGCAACTGCACAATGGACATAATGGATAACAAACAAGTGACTATAAGAGCAAATAAGCCAGTGTGCTTTGGCACATTTTGATTGGCTACTCAAACACGAAATAGCATTTGCTACTCACCTCTTAGCTCGTGAGAGTCTGGCACAAATGGTTTGTTGGTTTCCTATCATAACAGAGGAAAAAGTTTATCAGTGTATAAACAGCTGTCTCTACTAACCCAAAGAAAGCTACAAAACTCGGCTTAGCAGTATTTGCAAGTACGTCTAGAAGATGGAAGATAGCCAGTGAGGAGCTCAGTGCCAAGTTGGCTTTAACCATCCCATATTCAACAAGTGTGAGTGGAATAATTGTTTCATTTAAAAAAAGACCAAAAGATAGACACTAAAATAAATAAGGATGAAAACACTCCAAAAATTATGCGTACTCCATGTTTGTAGAACATGGCATAGTGGCTCCTATTATATAGACACAGGAGTTTTACTGGAAAATACACCGCTCACAAAATTCATACAAAACCACATCCGGGACTCAGGTGGCGAATTTTCCATATCCTCACTAGTGACGATACGGATGACTTCACTGATATCACGTTTGACCCTTAAACTGTACTTAAAATTGTTGGTGTATGATCAAAACATCTTTGGATCTTCCTTGAAAGTCTTCATTAATCTTCAAAAATTTTCGGAAATTGTTCAGAAACGTTCATGTGGCCTTCGGACAAGTTTTGGAGAATCTTCGGAATTCTTCAGAAAGTGGTCGCAAATCTTCGATAAATCGTCACAAATGTTGTTCTAAGTATGTTAAACGCATCACAAATAGATGAGTTTGGGAACTGGTGCCTGAAAGGTTAGCGGGGAGCAGAAGCCATACACGGAAGGGGAGGTATCCATGGCAACCCTGGAAGCAGGAACCACCCCCAAAAGCAGCCGCTAACTGGCACCGTCACACTGA